ATCTTAATTTTACAGTAAATGCTCACCTGTATAACTAGTTATATGAATAGATATCGTTAATATGAGCATTTTGACTGAACATATTAAATTTATTATCGAGATTAATATTTGGAAAAAAAATATATTTAATTGGAATTTTGAAAAATTGTACAAAATTTGAGAAATAATTGTTAAATATTTTCTAGTGTATGATGATTGGATACTTTTATAATATAGTATTACGGATACACACAGTTATGCAAAAAAAACACACCTTACATTTCTTATGAATTACTAATTATTCATATGCAAATTTATACATACTTATATGAATATAATAACTAAATATTAGGTGTTTATTAAAGATGTTTAGTATTGTATATATATATTATTATATAATAATATTAATATATATATATATATATATATATATTATACTTGTGAAATGTGTGTTATATAAGAAAATACTGACAAAAATGATTGGACTGATTCAAGTTGGTAAGAGAGATGTTATCCTTACAGAGAGTGATCGTTGCGGACTTTCCTTATAAATTAATTGTTTGTGGTAATCCTAATGATATGAAAATGGATGCATAAGGAGAAACTTTGCATACAATAATATGATATGCTAATAAAACAGGAAAAGGTGATGACGTTGATATGAAAGTCACCTGACCTATAATATTTGTGATATGACTGATTTTTGTTAGGGTGGCCTATAGGGCTAAATACTTGAAAAAATTACGATAAGGATAGCTAAATACCAGGATGTCTGTGCAATTGCATAGATAACATGAAATAATATGATAATTATATAATTACATGATCATCAATTTATATAAGCAATAAGGCGAATATGCATTAAATACAAGTGATATGTGATAGCTGATAAAATTGGCATACAAAGCATTTAATTATATATAAAGCATTTATGATTCAAGTATGCTATACATGCACTTAGGACTTAAGAAGTATGAGCGATGCATATGATAATGATAGGTGTCTGTACCTACAATGATGCCAATAAGATCTATATAAATTATTTTTATAACTACAGGTATGGATTGACAGAACTACTTTATCAC